TGATGGCTTTATGCCACTAGACACTAATATGAGTTTTGCTCATAAATGAACTTGAGCTCTTTTCTCTTCTAGGGCTGATTCTGCTCTTTGACCACTCACTTTTCAGTTATATATATACATATACAGTATATATACATATAGGCATGTCCTCAGTTATGTGATAGATATATATTAGAAATATTTTCATCTTCTCTAGGTAACTTTAATATTCTACTCAGCTAGTAAATTTCTGAAATGTGGAGTCTGTGTCATCAACATCCAAACAAAGGGTTCGGAAACATGAGCAGTCTGATGATCACATTATTTTATTTCATCATTTAGAAAAGAAAGGTGGTCAGTGGTCAAATTAATAAGTTATAACTAACGGAAATGATGGCAAACAATTCAGAAGAACAATTCAGCATTGTCCTGTAATATATTGTATAATCGTCTTTTTGACACTTGAAAAGGTGCGTGTGTGTAACCTCCTACTCTTCTTTTATGGTGCAAGGAATCAAGTTCCCTGAAAAAACGTTAAGATAAAGAGTTACTTGTTCGTACACACACCTTTCAACTCTGGTCTGGTCTGTTTTAATAAGGTGCACAAGGACCTTTCTCGTGACCTTGAGTAAGGTCCTGCTGTTTTTCATTTCCTCAAGAAAGAAAGGTCCTTGTCACTGAAATGCCAACCTGTTTAATAAGACAATGCAGAGGTGATAGGTGTGTGCAGGAATTAATTAAAATACAATTTTGATATCAACAATACCTGCTATGTATATCTCTTTATCATTTATACTCCTAAAATTTTAAAATTCCTACAAAAAACACATGCGAACTAGATGTGTATTGTATTGTGTGAATCAGTTTGAGCATCTGAAATACCATTTGTATTTTAATCATAGTATTTATTTGTGTATGAGAATATCAAGTGTATGTACATTCAGTGCGCCAAATCCGTGCGTGTGTGTGCGTAAAATACACCAAAGCTGACTTCAAAATGGTAGATGAAGTATTTCTCTGAGCTCAATTTGGAGAAACAGAGAGATAGAGAACGGGGGATACAGCGAGAGCAGCAGCGGAAAGAAAACAAGAAAGTGGATAAAAAGGAGAGGAAAACTGCCAGGCTGTTTGGTCCCACCTGTCTTGACTTGAAAGAAGAAAGAGACAAAGACTCGCAGACGTCTGGGAAGACTTGAAAAGGGGAGCAGAAAGGAGAGAAAAAGAGGAAGAGGAGGAGAGGAAGAGGAAGAGAGCTGATATGTGCGCAGCCCCAAAAGGCACATCTGTGTTTGAAGCCGAAGCGCTGGAACAAGCAGTAGCATCGACATCATAGAGAATCCGTCCCCGGGTAAACGACTGGAGTGGAAGGAGACGTTTGATACTGGGAACGCTGGAAGGGAAGGAGCGCTCATTAGACGCATCTGCCAGCACAGAGACACACCGAACCACAGCCGCACCGCCTGTTTTATCTGAGGGATTAGGATATGTAAACAAGACGTAACGTTGTTTTTTTTAATCCATTAGAATAAATTTGTCTTCGGTTGATGTATTTTCTTATGTTTGGGAAATTAGTTGTGAAATTGATTTTTAGAACATTTTGGAGGAATATTATTCCAATATACAAATGTGTCATATGGAGATTTATTCCTAAACTTATATTCATCTTTTTGAAATAAGATTAGTTGTGCACTGTGTATTAGTACAGTGGTCTACTTCACTTTCATCGGATCTATAGGGGATATACTTTGTATTGATAATTATGTAGCTCTGCCAGATGAAAACCCCCCATCACAGCATTTTGAATATATGTTTATGTATGTATTTATTTCAGCCCTTAGCCGAGTTTATAGCTGTAACTAATCCAACCTCTCCAGGTGCTGCGTTCAACACGAAAGTCTGTGTTTATCAGGGAAAATGGTGAACAGAGAGTGTGTAACAGTGACAGCCCACTTTTAAAACTGCTCTGGTTCTGGTAGTAAATTCTCCATTGACATTTCAGAAAGGTTTTTAAGAGTTAGGAAAGTGTGCATACCACAAACCAATGCATCCTTTCAAACAACTTCCAGTGCTTCTTCTTCAATTGAACCTTTTTGTAGGATTTTCACCTGTTAAGACTTTCTTCTCCTTATCTTTAAAAACTCAGAGCATGTGAGAAGAGAAATGATGGTTGATCTCTGGTAAACCAACCCTGAACCATCCGATTGTAACCAACATGATTTTTACTGTTTTTGCAAGCTCCTACCTAACACAGCCATCACTATTACCCCTGAGGATTGTGGGTAGTCCAGTGCTTCTTCTTGACATTGCAAATAAAACCTGTTTTTCTTGAAACACATCTAATATCATATGGACTTGTGGCTTCTACAGAGAACATGATTTACAGTCTTGTAGCTTGTGTTAAGTCTACCTCGCATGGCTGCTAATCAAAATCTATTTGGGAAATGAATGGGATTTTACTGGCAGAACCAGGTTGTTGAGCTGTATTCTTGTTGACCCGATAGTAACATCGTTCTGTTGAGGAGATCATGGGAGGAACCTCCAGGAAGTCGCTCCTGGTGACAGGTGATTAGGAGGAGGTGAGGATGCATCAGATAAGATCCATGACTGTCTCCGACCGTCCTCAGTTCATCAGAGTAGCAACAAGAACTGCAGAGCAGCAAAATCAACTTAGAGCTAAACCTGAGCCTTGGCAAGGGTATAGAGACATGCACAGTGTGTTTGTGCTATGGAAGGCATACTTCAATGTTGATGTGAAGTCAAGCAGCACAACTATTGTCACAATGCCTGAAGCAAGTAAATAGTGTCGGCTGGCAGATCCAGTCAGAAGTCTCTTTATCTTGAGAGTCTTTTGAGTCATATTGAAGGTGAGGGGGTAGGTACAGTAAGTGAGCTTAATGTATGGATGTTTACCACTATACACTGTAAATACACACTCACTGATTTACACACTGTTGCATTTTATCCTGTGTGTGTGTGTGCATTGCTATACCTGTGCGTACCCTCCCTTCACACCCTACCACGTCCTTCACTTTACACATCCACCGACTTATAAAAGTCATGTGTCATGTCAGGCGTTGATTGCCATGGCTGTGTGTGCTCGGGCGTGTGGGTGTGTGTCAGTGTAGCAAGGGTGTGTAAGCATCCATTTGTTCTCCCTCTCGCTCTAAGCTCCTTGGGAAATGATCCGTGAATTCGAAGACAAAAAGATCCGTCACTGTTGGAGGAGAGGCTGCACAGGATCAGGCGAGCACATAGTTATTGTAATCAGCTTTATGAGAAGAAATGTATGGTCACACAGTGTTTGCATTACGACGTGCTATCCTTCCTAATGATGTCTGACCCCTTTGCAATGGGAGCTCCACGTCTGGTTTCCAGCTTGCAGTCTTTTCTCTTCCTCTCTCACTCCTTCATTTTCTTTTTCCTCTCGCTCTAATTAAAGAAACAGACTAAATGAAAATATATCTGTGATATTGCAGCTGTCTTTAATTCCCATGTCCCATCCTTGTGTACATGAGCAGCCGTTCTCCACTTATCTTTTTGTCACTTTAAAATGGAGCCAATCAATTTTGGTATCAACAAAACCTGCTGTGTGTATCCCTTCATTGTAGATTTGTGCACTTATGTTTGCAAATATCTCAGGATTCCTAAAAAAAACCCACATGTGCCCCAGATGTGCAGCATCTCATCAGGTTTGCACTTGTAAACCAGAGTGAGTGTCTGATCTAGCTTTTGTGGTTTAATCAAACTATTTATTTGTACCCTATCAGGTGGTATATGCATACAGGATGTGTCTGTGTGTGGACTTGTACAGATATCCTTGTGCGGACCATTTTGAGCCTACAACCTACAGAGTGAGGACATTTGGGCTTTTTTTAATGGTGGATTTTTATAGGTTTGGGATTGAGGAAAGTAGGGATGAGGGGATGGTTGAGGGAGAGGAAGGATGGCAGAGGTTAAGGGTGTTAACAGGGTGGAGGGAAGGAGTTGGGGGTTAAAGAGAACATGAAGTGAGTACTTTCTCTTTTCCTTTTCTCTCTCCTCCCTTTCCTTCTTTCTTTTCTTCATATGTTTCCTCTCCCTAAGTTTATTATTCAAATCAAACTGAGCTGAACTGAAGCTCAGTATTTTGCAGGATGAGGACCTTCATCTCCTCCTCCGTCTTAATGCCTTTGCTTTGTGAGTCCTCCCGAAGGTTGAGCCACTTCTCCTCAGCGTCTCTGATGTGTCTCTCCAGCTCCTTTATTTTGGTGAAGCTGGCCTCCTTCTCAGCCAGCTGAGGCCTCAGACTGTCCTCCAGAGCGTTGACCTTCAGCTTCATGTCCGTCTCGCTCTGGAGGATCTCAGACTGAATGACCCTCAGCTTGGTGTTGACCAGTGCCATGTTTTCAGTCTTGACACTATCAATGACTTCATTCTTTTYTTCATCTCGTCTTTGACCTGCTGCTGTTGGAGATGTGCTTTCAGTGACTTTACTTCTTTCTCTTTGACTGTCGAATACTTGTTCATCTCTTTGTTCTCTCTGTCCATCCCTCTCTGAACGACTTTTGCAGCCTTCAACTGACTGTCAAAGTCTGTCAGCTCCTCCTTGACCTTCTGGGTCTCAGCCTGCTGGAGGTGAAGAAGGGCGTTCAGAGACTTCACTTCCTTTTCCTTCACAATCAACCTCTCCTTCTTCTCAGACTCCCAACCTCTCGCTGGATGACTTTTGCAGTCTTCAGTTGATTGTGAAAGCCATTTTTGGTCTGAAACAAATTTGACTCTTAAGAGACAATCTTTTCTTTTTCCTTCAGCTCCTTGTTAATCTCACTCTTCTGTTTCCCACCCTCTCTGTGCCACTTGTGCAGGACTCAAGTCATTTCTGGCCTTTAAGGATGAATCAGGCTCTTCTTTTCCTTGGTCCATTAGTTTTCTTTGCTCATCATCATCATCATCTTCAGAGCAGCATTCTGGTGCACCAGCTCCATGTTCTCAAACTCCAATTCTGAAATTTCTCCTCAGAGAATCTTTTCATTTGATAGAACATGTTCAACTGGCTGAAAGACACAAACATAAAAATAACAGGTAAGAACACAGTCCCATCCTAACTTTGGATACAAACAAAAGACAGGAGGTCTTTCACCTTTATATTGATTCAATACTCAAAACTAAAGTGAGGGATCCTAAACAGCAGCTTCATAAAATCCACAAAAACTCAAGTCAGGCAAATTATTGTAAGATACAGACACTAAATGCTACCTCAGTCTGAATGCAACTCAACAAACGTGTAAACCCCCTCCCTCTCTAGAAAATGATTTTGATGAAGTTTAAGACAAAAGAAGAAAAAAATTTGATAACATCTAAGATGGACTGACACAGAAAAAAGTGATTTTGCAGCATTTGTTTTCTGACAGTCTGTCTTTTGGAGGTCCTGTCTTCTGAAGTAGTTGCACATGACTTGACTGATGTTGACTCTTTTGTTTCTGGTTTTTTTTGTGTGTTTATTATGTGTTTTCGTGTTATATGTATATTTATGTCTTAACTCCCCAAAACATGAGTAATGCCTAGACCATAGACACACAAACACACTACTCACACAGTGCAGGAAGGAGACACAGAGCAGACTGTGTGTGTACGTGCATGTGGGTGTTTGTTCGTTTTAAGGTCTGAGTGTGTGTGTGCTTGTTAATCAGCAGGTGTGTAATGTGTGTCCAAATTGTGCATGAGAAAAAAAAGTAAAGACGTTAATCTGTGTATGAAAGCATGTGCATTAAGTGTGTGTGTATGTGTGTGTGTGTCAGACAGTGTGACACAAGTCGACTCTGCATTTTGGTTGAGCTGTTTAAACAGGCAGCTCCTCAGTCAGCCGTGCCTTGGCTGCATAATGAAGGACCTCAGTCCATTGAGTTTCGTGCTGCGTTCAGACAGAGCAACCAACACACTGCAGTCTGCTAATACATACACAACCTCACTCCATCCTTCTCTTTCTCTCTCTCCTCTTTTTCTTTACTATTTGTCCTATTTCTGTCTCCTCCTGTCTGTAAATATCTATTTGCGATTCTCTCGTCATTTTCCTCTTTTCTTTATCACCTTTTGTTGCTCTGAATTCTACGACTAACTTCATTCTTTCTTTCTCCTGGGCCACATAGTCAAACTGAACTGGCGCTCTCTCTTCTCTTCACGATTCAGTGTGACGTTGACTCCGACAGTCAGAGCTGTCGCGTTCATGTCAGCAGATTTCTGTTCGGGAGAGAGGGTTGTTTTGTTCTGTAACCGACGAAATTGTCCTACGGACGCCATTTTCAATTGAGACAGATGCTGGTTAGTGGTAGCAGGCGTAATCGGTGGTTATTGACTTTCTTTGTTAAAAATGATATGTATGTTATTTATGTGAGTCAGCTTGCTTCACCCGTCAGATTCATGCTGTTAGCTGTTTTTCTGTCGCAGTTTTTTTGGCGTTGGTACAGACAAATGACGTCCTTTGTAATTATTCCAAAATACAGTATGTTTTTATTGGCCCAGTTGTTTTTTCCATGCTTTCTCCTTTGCATTTCTGCATCATCTCTTATTATTCTCCTTCTGAAACTAATTTACCTCTGCCTGGCAACTTTTCCTCTTTTCCTCTCCACCTTTTGTTTCTCTCTCCCTCTCTCTCTCTCTCTCTCTCTCACACACTCACTCACTCTCCAGTAGACGAGAACAAGGCCGGATGGAGGAAAATGAGAGGAAGCGAGGAAAGACAATCCATCCATAATAACTTTGTCTTTGCACTTAAAAAAATGCAGAATATTTAAATTACAAACCAATGAAGGGAGGGAAGCAGCCAGCAGGGTGGAAGAAATGGAAATATAGGAGGAATGAATGACAAGACTGGAGAGAAAGAGGAGTGAGAGAATTATTAAAATGTCTTTAGGGGGATGAGAGTGGTGTATCATTTTGCTGCACAAGAGGAAGAAGACCAGCCGAACAAATGGGCAGATGCAGAAAGTCCCCTAAAAAAGAGTTTTTACCTTCCCAAAAACGAATGCACAGGAGCTATTTTGTGTTTTAAAAAAGCTCCAAAAAAGACAGACTGCACTTTCATCTCACTCTCTTATTTTAGTGTTTCTGTGATCCCAACTCTGGAGGATTTCATTTCAGTGCGTTTGAAATCATGTTCCTGTTCCCCTCACTGCGTTGCTCAGCCTTCCTTCCTTCCTTCCTGTCACTGTGTGTGTGTGTGTGTCTGTGTCTGTGTCTGTGTGTGTGTGTGTGTGTGTCATAGGCAACCTTTGGGACTAAACTTCAGACTAAAGACCAGTTAATTGGGGGACAGCTTGTCTAATTGGACACAGAATATGTCTCTAATTCAAAAAAAAAAGTTTGGGTTGGTGGTTAAGGTTTGGGTTAGCGTTTGTGTCTGTACGTGTGAGTGCAAGAGAGAAAGAGACAGCAACACAGATGTTCTGATAGAAATCCAGAGACTAGTGGCAAAGATCTGAGGGACACACACACATTCACACGTGTGAGTACAGGGACACACACATCTCTCACCATGAGAGACTGAAGGACACATTCCTACGTCCCTTTGACTTTAGACACAGCAAAGGGACAGACTCTCTTTCTCTCACTCACTCACACAGTGAGTGTTGAGGAACCATGTGTGTGTGTGTGTCTGTGTGTGTGTGTGTGTGTGTGTGTGTGTGTGTGTGTGGAGAATTTACACTTGCATTGACTATTGCATCCCACTTCACTCGATTCTTCACTCGCTTTCGACCTCATTGACCTCATGGTGTTTTCTTGTTCTTTTTTTTTGCTTCTATCGTGATAAAAACACCCCTCCCTCCCTCCCTCATCCATTTTAAATCCCCCCTACTCCAATTCTAACTCACTTAAAGGGATAGAATGTTTACCTTTCACCTCTTCCCCTTTTTCGGCGCTGCTCTCCATTTCCCTTTTTAATTTCTCATGCAGGCTCCTCACCGTCGTCCTGGGTAATTAAAATGAGAGCAGGGAGATTGAAAATAGGGGAGGAGAAAGGGAGAGGGGGGAGTGCGGGCAAGGAACGGAGGAAGGTGAGGAGAGAACGGGGGAGTTTTGTAAGGCTGCGTGACAGGGATGGGATAGAAAAAGCATATTTGTGCTTGTGTGTGTGTGTGTGTGTGTTTTTGTGTTGAGGTAACGATGCACAGCTTTTGTTGCGCTATTGGCCAAAGTCAGCGGCTGTCATCATTACAGCCAATCAACACGCCAGACATGTTCTTTTCCCTTCTTCTTCCCTATCCTCTACCCTCTCTCATCTTTAAGCACAAATGATACAGTTTAAGTTCTTGCTAGGTGTTTGTACATGTCTTCCTTTTATACGCTTTCTCTCACTTCATCCCTCGAATTTTTGTGGTAATAACGCTAATTCTCATCTTTCTCGCTCCGTCATGTGCAAACACAGTCATTATAAGACTGTGAAATCTACTGTGAATCTCAAAAGCACTAATGATCCAACAACCCCTTAAATATAACACATCTTGCACGCACACACATACACACATACACACACACACACACACACACACACACACACACAGTCTCACACCGTAAAGTGTCATCACTGTTTGGAAACATTTCTGGGAATATATGTAATTATATGCCAAAAGCCTGTTGTAATGCAGCCATGTAAAATTAATGAATTGCATGTTTTTGCATGGAAATAATTATATGCAAATGCTATGGAATGTATGAGTAATTACAGTGATATCATAGCTCTGATCACATTATAATTATGGCCTTTCTCTCCCCCTCTATGTCTCTGTCGCTGTTGGTTTGGGCTGCGCCTTCAAAATGTAGGTAAGTGATTTTTTTGTATCTATCATCATTTTCTAGATCACTTTAATTTATTAAATGGATGAAAACAACCGAGAGGGTCACTTTAGCACCTTTTATCATTTTAAAACACTCACATATTTCAGGAATGATTAATAACAGTTGAAAAACATGGGAAATATTCCAGCCCAATTACATCAAGTCAGACCCTAAAGTCAACTTAGTAAGCCACAGTAATTAATCATTCCTCATTCCAGCTGTACATACACAGAGGAACATAAGTCACATCAAGTGTAGGTCGCATAATATTTCTTCATATACACCCAGAAATACCCAAGTAAAAAGACTGATGACTAAGAGATGAGATGAATAAACTTTAAGAGTCAGAATAATATGCTTCCTCTTTGTCTGTGAGGGGAAAAAGGATGAGGTGAGAAGAGAAAGTATAAGAAGGGGATGAAGAGAGAGTGATCCAGACGAGAGCTTTCTGTGTGAATGAGGGTTCCTCTGATCGCCACAGAAGAATGTGCCTTTTCAGATGTTCTTTCCCCCGCTCTGCTTGTCCCTCTAAGGGCCCCGTAACGGGCCTTATCTAAGAGCTCTGCATGGCTACTCATCTCTGACATACTGAATATGCACCAGGCACACACACGCTAACACACACTCTCTTAAGTCACTGTGTGTGTATGTGTGTCTCCTTATTATTCACACTAAATGCCTAAACGCTTCCGTCTCTGTGCTCTTCAGAGGCGTACGGTTGAATAGCGCAGCGATCTGACACTGAGAATGCATTGTGAGAATGTAAGAGTGGCTGTGAGGGACAGTTGCGGGAGCTGCATTAGAGATAACGCTGTCATGTGCCACCGTGCATTAAGAATGTGCTGGATTTTGGCCACTTGTCGGTGAGTGAGATGTGAGTGTGTGTTGGTGACATCCAGGGCAGAGGCATGCGAGGAAGGACTAAAGGGACTGAATGGACACTGATGTCAGTTGTCTGTAGATCATATTGTGAGAACAATGCTTATCCCTACACCTGTGCAACAGTTTCCAAGAGACAGGTACACAGACTAAAGAGTGAAAGATAAGTTCTTGCATGAGAGAGAGAACTGCATTGATGCCACATATGCAGCTGAAACTGGATGGCGAACACGTCATGGGCAATAGTGCGAGCACAGGGCAATGCAGCAGCCTACGAGCATGTGGCAAATAATGCTGCATATAGTGCTGCACACACCAGGTTAGAGATTTCTTATGTTATGATAAGTATAAAAAAGGTTTTAGTTCAATTT